GGCCTTTCTTACACAGCGCAACAGTGTCATCTCGTTTTTCTCCTCTGCTTTTCTCAGAAGGCATGGCGGCTTAAAACGGTTTGTCTATTTATGCAGCTGTTTTGCCCATGGGTCGGCTCTGTTTCTGTAAAAGAATTATGTAACAGCCTCATAGCTGCAGAATTTTTGACTGGGCAAGGCTGCCTTGCATCATGTCCCACTTACAAAAAAAGTTGACCCCCTGCTTTGACTTCTCTCCCCAGAGCTGAAGGAGCCGAGAGCCATCACCCCCACTGTAAAAAAAACCTACATCCATAAACCATCCAGGCGGTGGTCACATCAGGACCTCCCTCACCGGAGGCGCCAGGAAAGGAGCCGTTCTCCACCCCGTCGCTGCATCCAGTGCACTCTCGAACCCGCCCATCTCACCATGAATGTCAAGAACGAGCATTTTCCATGCAAGGAGCATCATCGGGTGGGGAGGTGCCCCTACCCTCACTACCCCAGAAGCCACCCATTCTGCTATTACCACCCTTGTGAGTGTGAAAACTGGTACCATTCGCGTACCACCTTGGCCCCTTCCAGTTATGCCCCCTTCATTCGTTACCAGGACGTGGCCATCGGCACCTCCGAGTCCATGTCATTCTGGGCAGCCAGGAACGCCGGAATGACATGGCAGTGGGCACCGAATTCTACCCCCGGACGCAGGTGGCGGAGACCCAGTACCGCCTGGTAGGGACCGGCCACAACGCGGAATACCCAGGAGGCCCCACCATCACAGTCCCATCGGCTGACCAAAGTCTACATCTACGCGGTGCACCCCCAGACGCCCCCCCAGGAGCAGATCAGCCAGCCCGGAGAGGCTCCACCAGCAACAGGGAGCCAGGAAGATAAGCAAAAAGAGCTTGAGACCCAAGAGCCACGTTGCAAGGCCCAGGAGCCGGAGCAGCAGGCCAGAGGGACTGCATCGTGCTTCCCCACCTTTGCCACCAGCGTCCTCCAAAGGGCCACCCGAACCGAGGCCTCCGGCCCCAAGCAGCAGCATCTTTGGTCCGAGGCACCAGCCGACTCGGATTGGGTCTATCGGGCCCTGAAATAGACTGGCACCCAGTCACCCTGGCAGGCAAAAAAAAAAAAAGGAGCCGGCAGCCGAAGAGAGAGAGGTGGATGGGTTCCCTCTCGGTGTCCCTGACTGGACTCACCTTTGCCTTAGGAAATAATAAATGAGGAAGCCAAGCTGTCTCTTCACCCGGCTCTCCCGCGGCTCTCTCCTGAATTTGCATGCAAGCCCTCGGCTGGACTACAGCTCCCATTGCTCCTTTTGCTCCCATTGCTGCCATTGCTCCCAGGCCCAGAGGTTACCAACTTTCTGAATTAGGGCTGCTTCTATGCCATATTTGCAGTCTCTAGCCCAGGTCTGAGGGAGGTGAAAACATCTCCTGTCCAAAACCTTGGGAAATTGCTGTTTCCAACGATCAGGCTCAGAATCCTCTGGCCGTTTTGAGTGGGCGAGTGGGTGGGCAAGGCGGAATAAAACCAGAAAATGTCCCCAGGGCTTGGGGTCCTCGAATGAAGATTCGGGAGAGACCGGAGACAATGGTTTCCCATCCAACTGAAAATTGATTTACCAGAGGTTTAAAACACTTTATATCTTTTTCGGATGAACTACCCCCAGAATCCTAAAGGGGCTGGGGATTCTGGGGGCTCAACAACGTGGATACCCAATTCTGGGACTGATGGAGTCCGGTGTCGTAAGACATGCCGGTGACAAGATGAGAATTTACTGTATTTTTCCCCCCGACTAATTTTCAGAATCTCCAAGAGAGGCAGTCAAAAGACCACACAAACACTCAAACACCTCGGGCTCTTTCCCTCTTTTTTCCCTCTCTTCCAGAACCTGGGAATGCATGGTCATTAAAATAAATTAAATCCATTTAAATATATTTGCATGCATTATGGAGAGCATCTATTCGGAGGGCTCTCCCTCCTTGTTGTGGCGAAGGGGCTTGAGTAATTCAGAGAAGCTATGGGCTATGCCATGCAGGGACACCCAAGACAGACAGGTAATAGTGGAGCATTCTGACTAGATGCGATGCACCTTGAGCAGGAACTGGCAAACCACTCCAGTATCTTTGCCAAGAATGCCCCATGAACAGAAAAGGCTAAGATATGACGCTGGAAGATGGGCCCCTCAGATAAGATGGCATCCAACATGCTACTGAGGAAGAGCGGAGGACAAGTACAAGTAGCTCCAGAGCTAATGAAGTGGTTGTGATATGAAAATATTCACACCAGGATATCAGTAAGTGGTTTTATTTTCATGTCTGCAGCCATGGAGAGAGCACCCCTCGGCAAGTATGGTCTCTGCTGTTACAATACACAAACAACAACTTTTATACCCGACACATATTTTCCCTCTCTATCCCTCTGACCAATCCAGTCACGGCGGAGGGCTCACATTCGGCCTATCACACGACGCCAACACAACTTAGGCCCTTATTAGTCTAAACTGCCTATACTCCATTTTGTAAAATTCTCCATTTTGTAAAATCATCCTTCATACAGTAACTCTTTACTACTATATTGTGAACTGAGAACTTTATAAACTACAGTTTTATCTAAACTCCCTCATTTTCTTTTTATAAAAAACCTCTAATGTTCACATTTAATAATCATACTAATTGTCTCTTTTCAGCCGTCACTGCCTTCCTTACTGCTTTTTACATAGGCACAGGGCAAAGTTTTAAATACCTGACAGAAGGTTTTAATTCTTCTATTCCTTCTGGGTGATTGCTTCTTGTTTTTTTTCTGGCTTGCTTTTTGCATCTTGTTTTGCTTGGGAAACCAATTTGCTATGACTGTGCACTGAGATGGATAAAAAAATTCTTTTATGAACAAACCAAGCAAGTCCTACTTCCTGCAACTGGTGTGGCCTCTGAGAACGCCCCACGCAGGAGGACAGAGCAGACGGCCAGCCCTTTGGTCCTGCTGCAGCCTCTCCCGGCCAGAGGTACACTGCCTCTAGATAAGGAAGCTCTCTTTTCAGGCGTCACATATTTTGGAAAAGTTTTGGACCACAGTTTTGCAGGATTTGGGGGGGGGGGGTGGGAATCACTAATTGGCACCTGGATCCTTAAATGAACCCCGGCTGTAACCTTTTCTCGACCAAATTGCTCCAATTGAAGAGTTTAATAAGGCCGTGCCAAAACTTTAGAGGAGAAGGTCCCTGGACTTTTTTTGGCTGGACCTGAGATGAGGGTAGGAGGGTGGATCTGTGGAAAGCGAGAGGGGAAAAGTCTTGGTGGATAGGGCCAGTTTTTGCTGTCTCCATAATGGATGCGGGACAGTTCTTTTTCATCTAACAGGGTCTACAGTTAAGCAAAATGAAGCATGGAGCACCAGGAGTTAAAGAGTTTAAAAGAATGTCTCTTTATTTCTTACAAGCCCTTGCAGCCGAAAATAAGGGGTAACAAAAGGATGCCTTCTTTCAGACAATCCACCACCACCCCCTCAAAGCTGAGATCTTTAGCCAAGACCTTTCTCTCGGTCCTGCCATCTTCCGAGGCATGTGTGGTGGGGATGAGAACGAGGCCTTCTTGGAAGTGGCTCCCATGGTGAGGGAGCCAAGATTGGCCCCTCGCTTTTCCTGCATCCATCCACCAGAAGGCAGAGGTGGCTGGTGGACAGCAGAAGACAGAGGGGTGCTCGGAGAACACTTTTCGAA